CCCCAAAACCCCAAAACCCCAAAACCCCAAAACCCCTATTTTAAAATCGTTAATTGAATTAAATTATGAATCCGGACTTAAAGAGGTGTTCCCAGAACTTCAAGCTTAAGAAATTAAACGGTCAAGGCCAGACTAAAATATGTAAGGCTGGGTAATAGAGCTTTAAAGAAGCCAGTACAAGATTTTAGAGGGCATTTTAAGCTGTTTTTGGGGAATTTTGAGGGTGAATAGAAGGCAGAAATTGGAACAGAGGGTTCAAAAGGGTTTCTTGGGAGCATGTGAGGGAAGAATAGGTTGAATAAAGGGGTATAAGGGGTAGAAATGGGATTTAGATGGGAGCTAGAACGATTTGGCTTGGAATTTATGATTTTGGGCTTTTAAATTTGATTTTTAGCCCTAGTAGAGAATAAGAATTACACTTTGTTTCATTCACAAAAGAAGGCTATGAGAAAGCAAAAGAGGGGGAGGAATATATGAATCTCTCACAGTTCTTCAGAAAGTGTTGAAGGAAAGCAGAGTGAGCGCAAATAGATACCCAAAAGATATAAAGGAGGATAAATACAATAATGAAAAATTTAACCAGGAAAGAAAGAAATATAAAAACTTACTTGCTAAGAGGGTGACACTTCATCTAAATAAAGGTACTTTTGCATTATTTATTTCATTTAGATTTATTAGATGTGTGAACGGTTGACAAAGATAATTACCTCACAAAAAGTTGATCAAAAACTAAAACTAATTCAAAACCAATGAAAAAGAAAAGATGACTTACTTCTGAAAAATATGGCAGAAAGTGTTCCAAACAAAAACGCAATCCTGGGCTAATAAATACTGACAAATCTAGTCCCTTTTTATTAGCTCCTCGTTCTCCTCAAGATCAATCTCGAACTCCCAAAGATAACCTAGTTTCTCCAGATAACTCAAACAAAAAATAAACTGAATAAAATTCGAATGCAAGTGCGGAAAGGGGAAACCCTCCGCTCAGATATAGAGATAGGTGTAGATAATAGTAGCAATAGTAGATCTAAATTCATTGTTAAAGATAATACTACCATTAAAAGAAAATCTCCTCTAGATTATGAAGCAAATAATCCAAATCTAATGCAGACCCAAACTCTTTACAGTAACTTTGCCAGTCTCCAAACTCGTAAAAGGGAGAGACCAAGACATCGGAAGATAAATAGTGTATATGACCCACCTAAAATGACTCTAAAACTTCATGATTTCTTAGCTCCTGAGGATAGGCTCCCTGTGAAACAAAGAATTGAGCAGTTGCATTTTCTCACTAAACAACAGCAGAGGGTGAAAAATGATTTCAATGTCACAATGGACCATATTTATCAAAACCACAAAAGAAGTTTTAGCTTCAATCTTCAAGATTTCCGCCTCAAGGTATCACAGAAGGAATCTCCTCAAGAGCCTAAAGAGGTCATTAAGTTCAGTGTATCAAGCAATTGTGACTCAAAAGAGGTAAGCATCATCTGCTTAACTATAGATTTCTGAAATCTCAAGTTGGGACGAAGACGATTTCAATAGTTCCTCTACTAGAATCAAGAAGGAAGTAAAGCACATCTCTTCTATCAAGATGGTCAGCATGAACAAGTTCAATACACGTTCGTTTGTTAAGAAAAGTCAGGAGGAAGAAATTCACAACTTCCGCTGTAAGCTTGGGAGTTCTGGTAAAACTATCAAAGATTTCGAAATGAGCAAGAAAATAAGTAAATTCATCGACTTCCCCATGTACATCGGGTACTATTTCAGAGAAAGTTTTAGAAACTCTATTGGCAATTTTCAGGGAACCAAGAATCTAATCATTAAGAAATTCCTTGAGAATCCAAAGGTAATCCAAATAGAAAAGGACATATTTTTGCCTGAAAAAGTACTTGCATATAAGGATTTAAACCAGAAACATGTCATTCACAGTTTGCAAGGATTAAGCTGCTGCAATGGGTTCTTAAATGGGCCAGATTGTGAGTATAAGTCTAGAAAAGTTACACTTCCGCATACTAATCGTAAAAAGCTAGCTGTATTTGATATGGATGAGACCTTGATTCATTGAGTTCCTTACTCGTGATACAAAGACAAGCCAGAAATGATTGAGGAATGAGATGTCTCAATTGACTGTGATATTGGCCCTGACAACAAGCTTTATGTAAATATTCGACCCTATATCATCGAAGCATTGAGGGAAATAAAGAAAGAGTATCAGATAATTGTATTCACAGCTTCAGTCCAGCAATACGCTGATCCTATCCTAAACTTCATTGATCCTGACCATCAATTATTTGATGAAAGATTTTATCGAGAAAGCTGATTTGACACTGGAGATGGAACCTCGGTAAAAGATCTCAGAATTTTCGAAGACCAATGGGACTTAAAGAACATTATACTAGTTGATAACTTCACTGTATCATTTGGAATGCAAGTCAGTAATGGTTTCCCAATTTTGCCATTCTATGATCGAAAAGATGATCTTGAGATGGTTTATCTGACATATTTCTTAAAAAGAATAGCTAAAGAAAATGATATTAGGATTAAGCTAACTGAAAGCTTTTGGCTTGAAACACTTAAGATTCCAGAAATTTGAGACTCGATCACTGGGGTCATTGAATACGCTGTAGAAGAAATCTCTGAAGATTGATTTAATACTCTCAATAATAAAACTCCTATTCATTCAAGAAAGAACACTAAGTTAATAAAGGTACAAGAGCCAGTGACTCCTTGAAGTATCTATGATGCTCCTTCCCAAATAGTTCCTAGCTCGCATGATGTATTTTCAAAATTTACTAAGAAAAGCTACGGATGATCTCCAAGCAGCATCGAACTTACTAAGGAAAAGGTTATTGAAGCTACTGACAACCTCGAAGAAGCCTGAGATTTGAGCATATCGAAAGAACCTGAGGTTCAGGATATCCCAAAGAAAATGCACCAGGCCTTCCATCAGAAGTCAGTTGTCTCACTCTCTACAAAGCTTAATCAGAACGATAGTGAGACTTGTGCAAATATTGGCCATGATGATCGGATATTCAACATTGCTTTTCTTAGTGAGAACCTGCTGAACAAAAATGTTGGAAAATCCCCAATCTCTAATCTAGAATCAATCAGAAGAAATATCTGATTCACCGAAGAGGCTGCTACTACAGAGGAGGATATCAATCTTGACAGCCTCCAGGAGAAGGAGAATGAAAGTCGTAGAGTCCCTCAGATTTTAGGACCTGCAAGCAGCCCCAAAAAACTAATTGATCTGTAATATTTCCGATCAATATTCTTGCCCAAGTTTGGGGTTTTGGGGTTTTGGGGTTTTGGGGTTTTGGGG